GCCCGCGCCGCCCAGCGCGGCCAGCACGAGGCCCGCTTGCCGCAGCCTGGGGGCAAGGCAGCAGGGTAGGGCAGGGGGCCGCATCCTGCCACCTCCCAGCCAGCCCGGCCCCCCCAGCCCAGCCTCACCGGTCCCGCGCGCGGCTGACCCCCTCCTGCTCGACGGGGTCGGTGGCATCGCGGAGCCCGGCCGTGTCGCTCAGCACCAGGGGGTAACCGCCAACGTTCAGAGCCACCTCCACCACATCCCGCGTCGTCCCCGCCACCGGTGACACGATGGCTGCCGGACGCTGGCCTGGGGCAGGGACGACATGACACAGGGGACGAGGCTGGGGACCCCCCTGCCCTTGCAGCGTTGGGGACAGTGGCTGCTGTCCCCGGGGAGGGGGACCCTCGTCCGGGCTGCGAGCAGCCCCCCCCACCCCACTCACACAGCAGGTTGAGCAGGCTGCTCTTGCCCACGTTGGGGGGGCCGGCGATGACGGCACGGACCCCGCCGCGGAGCAGCTCCCCGCGGCGCCCGTCCCGCAGGTGGGCACCAATCTCCCGCTCCAGCGCCCGCACGGTGGCATCCACTGCGGGGGGAGAGCAGGGGGACGCGGCTGGAGGGGGGACAGCAGGCACGGGGTGTCCCAGCCCCGCCACCACCCCGCCAGCCTTCACCTTGGGACAAGACCTCTTCCTCCACGTTATCATCCTCACTGAAGTCGATATAGGCTTCAAGGTGGGCGAGAGCCTGGGGACCGGGGCGGGGGCTCAGCGGGGACAGCCTGGCCCCGTGTCCCCCAGCCACCACGTGCCAGCGGAGGAACACGGGCGGGCGCGGGGCGCGCGGCCCCCCCCCCCCCCCCCCCCCCCCCAGCCACCACGTGCCAGCGGAGGAACACGGGCGGGCGGATCCAAGCCCGTGCCCCGCCGCCCTTACCTGGGTGAGGGTCTCGCTCCAGCGCTGGTAGAGCCGGCCCAGCTCGCCCTCCATCTGCCGCAGCGCCTGCCGCCGCTGGGCCTCCGTCTCCGCCCGGATCAGGTCCCCCAGCCCCTCGGCCGCCGTCAGGTCCAGCTTCCCGCGGCGGAAGGCTCGGCGCGTGAACTCCCCGGGCTCGGCGGGACGCAGCCCGGGCAGGTGCCCTGCCAGCCCCGGGGTGAGCCCCCCTCCCCGAGCTGGGGGCACCCTCCGGCAGCACCCTGGGGAGCAGGACCCGAGGGGAGGGGGGGAGGAGGGATGGAGGGAGCCTCACCCAGCGCCCGCAGCACCCCGCTCACCACCGCCGGCCCGCCGTGCACGTGCAGCTCGGCGCAGTCCTCCCCAGTGAAGCTCTGGGGACCTGCAGAGCCAGCACATGGTTCGGACGGGCACACGCCATCCCTTCCCCTCCCGTGGCGGCATGCATGCTTCAACCCCACAGGGGCTTTTGGGGGACTCCAGGGAGACCCCCCGCTAGCAGCTGGGCTGTGGCTATGTAGGATCGGTGCAACAGGGCCAGCGTTGAGCCGGGACCAGCGCCGCGGGCATCTGCGCATAGCCGGCTTCACGGTGCCAGGGAAGCCAAGAGGGGCTGAGCCATGCCTGTGCCAGGCACTGGGACCCCGCCAAGCACCAAGACCCCCACCAAGCACCGAGACCCCCACCAAGCCCCGAGACCCGATGCCAATCCCACCTGGGAACCAGACAACGAGGCCGCGGTCCAGGGGCTCGGCGGTGGCGGGGTCGCGGATGCGCCGCAGGGCCAGGACGC